TAATTGAGCTGACGATATTTGACCTACAGTATTCTCATAGAAGATATCTGCCATTACAGTGATAATGTTGGCTTAGTACTTTGTACTAATATGTCACAGTGATCAAAATTCCCTTTTTTTCATCAACTTTATGGGTTTAAACTTTTTTTCTAGTAGTTGTTACTAGTTCTCACAGATAGTATCTGAGTTAGAATTACATCATTATTATAATAACTAATTACCAGGGCTATTGTGTTTAAACAGGGTTTCCATGGGGTCTTAAAACGTTGTAGATTCCAAAATCCAAATTTCAGGCCTTAAAAAGTATTAAATTTACTGAAATATTGTGTTGTAGGTCTTAAACCTTTTCTTTTTAAAGGTCTTAATTTTTCTTTGTTCATGTTTTCCTACTCAATCTCGCCAAAACCCATACAATCACCAACAATCCATATCAATATAACTTTACACTTTTCATTCAAAAAGGTCATTTTAACTCTATTTCTCATAAAGGTTTAATTAATCTAACTTGGTGAAACCTGCAGAAACCCTGGTTTAAAATATGTCAAAAATCGTGGAAGCCCCAATATTAAATATGCTAAATTTGCTAAGTTTGTATTGTTTTGTTTTTGCTATTATTTTTATTGTGTTTTTACCTGAACTGATTGTTCTAGCTGTCCTGTACGGTGACCTTGAGCGTCATGAAAGGCGCCTTTAAATAAAATGCATTTTTATTGTCTGCAAGTTGTTTATTGAGATTAAAATAATATTTAAAAAACAAACAAATTGAAAATGAGATAATAAATATATATATATATATATATATATATATATATATATATATATATATATATATATATATATATATATATACATACATACATACACACACACACACACACACACACTCACAGTTGAAGTCAGAATTATTAGCGCCCTTGTTTATTTTTTTCCCCAATTTCTGTGTAATGAAGGGAAGATTGTTTCAGCACATTTCTAAGCATAATAGTTTTAAAAACTTATTTCTAATAACTGATTTATTTTATCTTTGCCATGATGACAGTAAATAATATTTTACTTGATATTTTTCAAGATACTTCTACACAGCTTAAAGTGACATTTAAAGGCTTAACTAAGTTAATAAGGTGAACTAGGCGGGTTAGGGTAATTAGGCAAGTTATTGTATAATGATGGTTTGTTCTGTAGATTGTCGGAAAAAAAAATTGAAAAAAAAATGGGTTTAATAAATTAATAATTGCTTTCATTCTAGCCGAAATAAAATTCAATTCAATTCAGCTTTATTTGTATAGCGCTTTTACAATGTAGATTGTGTCAAAGCAGCTTCACATAAATGGTCATATTAACTGGAACAGTGTGGTTCAGGTTTTAGTGTTTAAGTTCAGTTCAGTTTAGCTCAGTTCAGTGTGATTTAATCATTACTGAGAGTTCAAACACTGAAGAGCAAATTCATCGATGCGTAGCTCTACCAATCCTGAACCATGCGAGCCAGTGGCGACAGCGGAGAGGAAAAAAAACTTCACCTGATGGGAGTGAAGAAAAAAAACCTTGAGAGAACCAGACTCAGTTGGGCACGACCATTTTAATTTCTCCGCTGGCCAAAAGTCTTGTGCAGAGCTTCATTCGCCATGGTTGAGGCTGGAAAATGGCCTCAGCGAAGACTCGTCTGTCCCTGGAGCGTCGCTGGAATCAGACTCATGTTCTCCACTCCCCACGACCATCAGCGCAGCATCAGCTCAGGATATGGCCTGGTACCGGATATGGAATCCTTGGGATCATCTCGTCGCTGGTCTTGGATCCAATCAGTAACTCCGCATAATCTGAGGACCTCGGGATGAGTATCCCCAGGTGAAAATAGAGATTAAAGAAAATAATTAGCGTAGCTGCTGTTCATAGTGTATATAAGCAAGATGCAGAAGCCTGTGTGGAACCCGCTAGGTGATGCATTGAGTGTATGCTTTACTAAACAGATAGGTCTTTAATCTAGTTTTGAACTGGGAAAGTGTGTCTGAGCCTCGGACGTTATCAGGAAGGCTATTCCAGAGTGTAGGAGCCATGAAAGAGAAGGCTCGACCTCCTTTACTTGATTTTGCTATTCTAGGTACTACCAGAAGCCCTGAATTTTGAGATCTTAAAGAGCGAGTTGGTTTGTAGCAAGACAAAAGGTTGGTTAGATAAACAGGAGCTAGATTATTTAGAGCTTTATAGGTGAGAAGTAATATTTTAAATTCAATACGAAACTTAACAGGCAGCCAGTGTAAGGAGGATAAAATTGGGGTTATATGATCATATTTTCTAGACCTGGTCAGAACTCTGGCTGCTGCATTTTGTACTAATTGAAGTGCAACATGCAAAAATAAATAAGACTTTCTCCAGAAGAAAAAATATTATCAGACATACTGTGAAAATGTCCTTGCTCTGTTAAAAATCATTTTGGTCATATTTAAAAGAGAAAAAAAATTAAAAGGGGGCTAATAATTCTGACTTCAACTGTCTGTGTGTGTGTGTGTATGTATGTATGTGTATATATATATATATATATATATATATATATATATATATATATATATATATATAGCAACGTGTGTGTGTGTATGTATGTATGTATGTATATATATATATATATATATATATATATATATATATATATATATATATAGCAACCTACCTATAGTCTGGCACATTTGCTACCAACGACAAGTCAAGATTTAAAAAGAAAATAAAAATTGCATGATCTGACGTAGTGACTAAACGACAGTAAAAATCATGTGATCTGACCGGGGCTTTAGCTGTTGTATTGGAGTCAAAAGAATATATAAAGTAGAATGTTCTTTTAACAGTGCCGATATGTTTAAGTTTGTCCTTTTGCAAAATGTTTTTCATTTCTTTTCTGCAAATTAGACTTTTTTTAAAATCTGCTTGATTCTTTAAAAACCAAAAGCAGTCCCCGTCAATTGATGTTTTTTTCCATAAGATACACCTTTGTGACTGTTTTATTTTATGTGTATAGTCTTTAATGTGCTTTTTAATTATTTTATTCTTTTCAAAGCAGCACACAGACGCAAATTTATCCTTGAAAACGTGGCATGAGAGCAATGCACGTGCAATCAATTCCTGATCCTTTGCACACATTTTTAAAACAAAAGACAAGATAATTTAATTACTTTCAATGTGCTAAATATTTGTTAAACGATTATTAAAAAAAAAGCTTGTACACTTATTTAAACTGTAAACTGTCTGCGCCAAAAGCCTTGGGGTTAGTGCGTTGAAACATAGCACCAAGGTGCTCACGGCGACCGAGTTTGATTCTTGGCTTGTGGTCCTTTGCTGATCCGGTCTCTATCTATGATAACCACACTTTCCTGTCTGTAAAATCTCCACTGTCCTATCCAAATAAAGATGAAAACCCCTAAGAAATAATTATATATATAAAAAAAAAAAAACTGTAAAACTGAATAAAGTGCATGGTAATCGGAAATAAAGGAAATTAGTAAATTAATCTATTTCGTTATTTAATGCATAAAATAATCTTTTTAAAAAATTGAGGTAAATCTGAAACTTTAAATTGCGTTTTCTTTTCTTATAAATAATAAAAGTTGCATCAGATTGATGAAAACTAACCTGAATACCCGCGTGAACAGGGCCACAGTGACTTTTTATTTTTCATTAAAACAATTGGATTGTGTCTTCTGTCTACATGACTGGCAAACGCGTCAGGAAAAAATGGCTAAATCTCTGCGAATATTTTGTTAAATGTTTAGTAATGTTAGTAATGCATAGAAAAATGCAAAACAGATTTGTCCTGAGCTCATTAATGCCTAGTTCAGACTGCGTGATTTTAGCCCCGATTTTGGCTCGCCCACAGGTTTTGAGAAATCGCAGACAAATGCCTGAAATCACAGGCAAATCGGTGCTCATGCACGTGAGTGACAATCACACAGTATACTATGAACTATCAAAGACGCGATCTGAGAGAATCGCCGATGAGTCACCGATGCGTGTGAGATATTTGGCATGCTAAATATCTGGAGCTGTCGGCGATTCAAATCATGCCGTGTGAATTGAGTTTTGACTGAAAATAACATCAGCGATCGCCTACAGCCAATGAGAGAGCGGCATTCACTTGTGTGTGCGTGTGTGTATACCTGCTGCAGGCCAGCGGGAGGCTGGGGGAGAAGTTAAAAGCGCTCTTTTTCGGTTTATTTGGACCCACAAAATGGAGGAAAAACTAGTGGAAGTTAGACAGGAGCAACCGTGTCTGTTTGATGTTTCATACAGAAAGAAATTAGTTTTATCAACGTTGAGGAGAAATGGCTAATTCCCTTTAAACCCAGGTGAGCAAACATGTACATGTTCTACCCCATTAAAGGCTTCTTTCTCATTATGTAGTTAATAACAAAAGATATACTACGTGTTTTTGGCTGTGAGACGTAGTTTGGACGAAGTTGTTGCGATTCTTCCTCCATAAAGTTAACCTCCACTCCACAGCTGCCCTGTCCTGACCTATTCATGCATCTCTAAGGACCGAGCTGTCCCGGGAGAAGCTTGCTAATATACAGAATTGGACTCAAGGCCTTCTGGGCGTTCAAAGCATTTGCAGACCTGGACAGATTTGTCCAGCCCATCACCCCCTTGTGCTGGAAAAGGGATTCATTCTCCCTATGAGCTATCAACCAAGGCTGAACCTGGACGGGGGCGTCCCGCGAGTCACTTTTAACACTCAAGGCAGGGATAGTTTGTCCCAATTGGAACGTAGCCAAGGCAGAACCTGGACGAGGGCATCCCACGTGACACTTTTAACACACAAGTTAGGGCTAATCTGTCCCAATCGGAACGTAGCCAAGGCAGGACCTGGACGCAGCAGGCATACAGCGTTGAACTAAGAAGACAGGGCTCATTTTTGTCCCCACTGAATTTACTTTTACCACACAGATAATAAATAAAAGGAATAATGAAGACACTGAACACCATTTGACCGTTAAGTTGTACAATATTTATTCAGGACGATTCAGAGTCTTCTGTTTGTTCGAGCGGGCGAGCGCCCTGGCTTTTCCCTTTGGCAGGGCGCCATGGCAGCGTCCTCCTGCTGGTTCCCTCCTGGAAAAGAGACACATAAAGGGAAGTTAGCCAATGCCATACGTTCTGCTGTCCACGCCAAAGAGAATGTGATTTTTACCAGGGGAGAGACGGAAGTCTCTGTCCTCTTGCGCCCTTTCCGCGGGGGGCTTTCAGTGCCCGCTGCCTCCCCATCCTCCTCCTCCTCCTCCTCCTCCACCAGGGCCCTTTCAAAGAGTCTGCGGCGCTCGCGTGCTTGGAGAGGTCCGAGGTGAAGTGCGTAGAACTTATCTGAGGTTGAAGTGTCATGGCACATGAATTGCGCCACCTTGCGGCGATCCTCTGAAGAGTGTGCATTCTTTGCCTGCGTCGGAGAGAGACAGAAGCTTGATTAGGATAGAAGCCACCGCTGGTAGTTACAGGGGCGTCACAATGCCTACTCACATGAGTCGCGATCGCAGTGCGTACGTCAGTAAAGGTGGGTTTGCCTGGAAGGCCCATACTGAGCCAAGCAGACTGAAAGTACTTGTTCAGGGTCCGACAAGGACTGGCTCTGGAAGTGAAAAAGAAATAGGTAGCCTGGCTCCCTCCGGGGAGACTAGCCCGCAGCGCCAAAAACCTGCGGAACCAGCTGTATTCCTCCCTGTTTAGGGACAGCTGAGCCGCCCCAAAGGCTCTGTTTGTTTTGTGAGTGGTAATCTGACATCAGAGAACAAGCAGTGAGTGAGTGAGTGAGAGAGCATGCTACTGGTGACCCCCACCTTACTTGCGCCATACTCACGTTAATGACATAAGCAGACTCGTCGGGGCTTCTGGAGGCCTCTTCAACCTCCTGGATTGTGAGATTCTGGAAGACTCCACAGCGGTGCCCAGAGATGGAGGTTAGGTAGCCAGTCAGAAAGCCATAGAAGCGCCACTGTTGCCTAGTGCTTGGGTTGGATTCGAGGCTATCTGGTGAAGGACATTAGACAGATTAGACCACCGACGGTTCTATTTCCTTTCTGGGTCACCAACAGCTCTTGGCTGCTGGTGACTTGTTCTCCGGGCCACCAGCAGCTGTTGGTTCATCCAGCCACGTCGGTCTGCCCCCCTTCCCCCCCGAATGAGTCCCATTCGCGGGGGAGAGGGGCAGACAGACGTGGCTGGATGAACCAAGGGCTGTTGGTGCCCCGGAAGAACAAACAGGGGGAATCGCTGGAACGGCGGAAGGGCTTGCTTACCTAGCAGGGCGGGAATTTTCCTCCCAGCGGTCCGGTGACAGCGCACCAGACTGGCCTTGGGGATCAGTCGGCTTTCCTTCGCCTGCTTGGTCCTTACCTCGTGCACGACGACACGCCGGCGTATGCCGCGGATGAGGGCTCTGACCTCCCTTCGAATCAGAACCAGAGCCGTGCTGGAGAGCTGACAGGCGGCCGGCGGCGTCTCCGAGAGGTAGTCTAGGAACTGAGCCACGTTCTTCAGGTAGTGCTGCCTGGTGGGCTCGGCCATGCGCGTCTGACCTAGCCGGGCGGCCCACGCTCGGATTCGGGCTGGTTGGTTGAGGAAAAGGAAGTCCCCTGGCTCCGCGGTGCCCCTGGCCATGTAACCAAGGAAGGCTTTGATTCTCCCCAGCTTCGAAGTGACGTTGTTCCGCAGGCGCGCGGTGGGCTCGCTGCCCAGTTGGTACCCTTCGAACTCCCCCAAGAGAAGGTCTGTGGAACGAGCACAACCAAGAGTCAACTTCCCCGAAGGCACACAGCCAGCAGAGCGACAGTGACGTGCCTGAAATATACTCAACTCAGCGCGGGGACGTGGTCCGGGAACGGGTAGGGTTCCAAAGCCTCCGGAGGCTCGGGGGGCGTCGGACCTCCGGCCGCGCCTCGCCCGGGAGCCGGTGGTGCAGGAGGCGACCTGGTTCTCCTCGCCCTCTTCCTCCTCCTTCTCCCCCCTTCTCCCTTCCTCAGCTCCCGGTAGAGGCGTGTGATCTGGAGCAGGGTGGACCGCATCTTGGTAACCTGTTTCCCCAGGTCCGTGAGCTGAGCCTGTATGCGCTCGGTGGCGCGCCTGCAGCCGCGGTCGGCGCACGGGCGGCCGGCCTCTGGGTCCTCCGAGTCCCGCTCCCCCTCGGAGGACGATGCTAGCTGGGACACGACAGGGATTGCAGGCTGGGTGGACCGCAGCCACTGCAACTCCCGAGCTACTTTCCGGCGTTTCGCCCTCCCCATAGCCTCTTTCCTTCCCGAGGTCGAGAGCTCCGCGTACTGCCTCAAGTGCCTGTCTAGGCGGGCTGGCGTCCGGCGACAGCCCGGGACCGGGCACGGTGTCTTCCGCGTGTCCACGCGGCCGGCGGCCAGTGCGAGCAGCAGCCGCTTCTCATCCGAGTTGGCCACCTTGTGAACGGCCGTCAGGTGAGGCGCAAGCCGGCTGTAGACGTTGAAGCATAGGGCACATTCAGCCATGACCGTGCTAGAGCCAATGCAGAGGGGGAAAGGGGCCCGCACGCCACGTGCGGCGGTTAATAAGCGGCCGGAGGCGGCGTCCACTTCCGCGTCATGACGTTGGTGGACCCGTATTTCTTAAAGGGGAAGGACACCCCCCCGCACCAGGAGGTGTAAGCCGATGCCCTACGGAGATCCATTCGGTTCAAGCTTTCTTTTGTTACGACTTCTCAAGTAGGGGGGAGAGGGGTGTCCACCTCACTCCCTTCCCCCCTTTTCAAAGGAACCAGAGGGGGTGTCCCGTTAAACAATGCACCCCACCACCCCTTCATCGTTACCCCGGTCAGCGGTTCGACACCTCTCTCTCTTGTCACGACTCGAGTTGGGGAAGGGGTGTCCCACCTCACTCCCTATCCCCCCTTCATTTTGCTGTTCTGGCCAGCGGGAGCCTTTCTCGTTCACTTTTTCCACCCCAAAATGGGGATTGTTTGAGCCCCATCGAACATGCGCCGTTTTTTGGGGGGGAGGGGGCAGCTCCACACGCGCCAGCCGCGGGAGCTTTTGCGACCTGCTACAACCAACATGGGATAAGCACCAACCATCGGAAGGGGGGTCCAGACAGCCCGTAACCCCGGCATCACTGACCCTGGCACGTTTCACCTCGCCGGAGTCCACTAGCTTCCCCTCCCAACCAACCACCCTCACTCCCCCGGGAGCAGGGTAGGCGGGGTGGGGGTCAGCCGGGAGCCAGCAAGGATAAACCCAGGGGGTGGGCGGCGTTGCGGGCGGACGGACGGGATGCAGACGCACACACTCGGGCGGGGGTAGAATCGAAGCCCACACCAGCTCGTTCCCTACGCTGCCCCTGGGGCCTCGATTCACCACGCCGGGTGACTCGACCGAACCCACCGAACATCCCCCAGCCCTCGCAGGGCGAGGGGCGTGGGGCGGGGGCACGGGCCGAGTATCGGCGCGGGGGAAACGGAGTCCAGGGGGGCGGGCTGGCGGGCGGGCTGAGCAGCAGACAAGCTCTGGGTCATTTAGCCAGACGGGCCATCTGGGTCCTTTACCCACAGATCGGGGCGGGAAGGGGGGGGCGCTGTGTGCGGAGGGACACCCCCACGCCTCCCTGATAGAGCGCCCAGGACGGGGAGGATCTGCCACACCCATAGAGGCCGACCCCATTGGTGCTTTGGGGGGCCTGGGTGGGGGCCTAGCCCCTGGGGCGCCACACTAGCTCCTATCGATCAGTCACCGTGGGGTCTGGCGACTGGACTGTCAGAGACTAAGTCCATATTTCTTCGCCTTCCCCGAAACCCTGATGGCAGGTCAGAGATTGTGGGTGTCGGGCAAAAACCTCCAGGCGCGGGACGTCCCGACAAGTAGGCCGGGAAGGGTGGTCTCCCGTCGGGCATGGTTTGGTGGGCTCGGGCCTGGGTCTAACCAACGCCCCGGTGAGCGCCAGGCATAACGTATTCCTGTTGGACCTTTGGCGCTAGATGCGTAAAGATGTGCCGCTGGTGAACCATTGATGGAGCCGCTGGTGAACCATTGATGGGGCCTCTGAGATCCAGCGGTGGGGGGGGGCCGTGCCCTGCGCGCTCTGCCCGAGGTACACGCACCCTTCTTGGGGAGCGAGCCCAGCCCCTCTCCCTGGCCTGGGGCCTCTGAGATCCAGCGGTGGGGGGGGCCCGTGCCCTGCGCGCTCTGCCCGAGGTACACGCACCCTTCTTGGGGAGCGAGCCCAGCCCCTCTCCCTGGCCTGGGGCCTCTGAGATCCAGCGGTGGGGGGGGGCCTGTGCCCTGCGCGCTCTGCCCGAGGTACACACACTCTCCGGCGGCAAGCGCTGGTTCCAAAGGACCCCCTAGATTTGCACCTAATCACCAGCCGTGCCCGGGCACCCCACTATTAAGCCCGGGGACACTAACTCCTCCAAACCGCATGGATCAGACAGACGTGCTGCTGGTGACCCAACTGGCCAAGACGTACCGCTGGTGGCCCAATCGGTCTTTGGGTTTGTGAATGGGTCACCACCGGCCCTGGGCTCGTGTATGGGGCACCAGCCGCACGTCGTTTTAGCCTCCGTCAGCGGTGGGGTCTTATGTTTGCTGCGGGAATATGAGCGCTGGGAGGCGGGTTGGCAGCTCAGCAATGGACCCCTAGCTCCCCCGGGTTCGAACGCATCTCCTGGGGCTTCTTTGATTGCCTTTGGGGCCTGGGTCTTTGGCTGAACCAGGGCAGTAACGCGCACCTAGCTCCCCCGGGTTCGAACGCATCTCCTGGGGTTTCTTTGATTGCCTTTGAGGCCTGGGTCTTTGGCTGAACCAGGGCAGTTACGCACACCTAGCTCCCCCGGGTTCGAACGCATCTCCTGGGGCTTCTTTGATTGCCTTTGAGGCCTGGGTCTTTGGCTGAACCAGGGCAGTAGGGCGCACCTAGCTCCCCCGGGTTCGAACGCATCTCCTGGGGCTTTTTTGATTGCCTTTGGGGCCTGGGTCTTTGGCTGAACCAGGGCAGTAACGCGCACCTAGCTCCCCCGGGTTCGAACGCATCTCCTGGGGCTTCTTTGATTGCCTTTGAGGCCTGGGTCTTTGGCTGAACCAGGGCAGTTACGCGCACCTAGCTCCCCCGGGTTCGAACGCATCTCCTGGGGTTTCTTTGATTGCCTTTGAGGCCTGGGTCTTTGGCTGAACCAGGGCAGTTACGCGCACCTAGCTCCCCCGGGTTCGAACGCATCTCCTGGGGCTTCTTTGATTGCCTTTGAGGCCTGGGTCTTTGGCTGAACCAGGGCAGTAGGGCGCACCTAGCTCCCCCGGGTTCGAACGCATCTCCTGGGGCTTCTTTGATTGCCTTTGAGGCCTGGGTCTTTGGCTGAACCAGGGCAGTAGGGCGCACCTAGCTCCCCCGGGTTCGAACGCATCTCCTGGGGCTTCTTTGATTGCCTTTGAGGCCTGGGTCTTTGGATGAACCAGGGCAGTTACGCGCACCTAGCTCCCCCGGGTTCGAACGCATCTCCTGGGGCTTCTTTGATTGCCTTTGGGGCCTGGTTCGATCAACCGCGAAATCGGAAATTGCACTAAGTCCTTCATATGTGTCTGTTATCGAAAACTTGACGGCAGGTCAGCGAAACCCAGGGACGCGCTACCCCCCCCTCCAGGCGCGGGTCATGCCGGAGAGAGTGGTCTCTATCCGGGCATGGCTTGGTGGGCTCTCCCCTGGGTCTAACCAACGCCCCCGGTGAGCTTATCCATAGCGTTTGCCAGCGGTCGTTCCAAAGACCCCCCCCGCTAGAGACCCACCATCCCCCAAATGAGTGTTAGTTGTTTCAAACAGCAAAAAAATAAAATCAATGCATTTCGTTTTCAAAATGAATTTTTTTTACTTTCTATAGTAAAGTCATGCAATGTGAAAGTCCCTGTCGCCGATCCATCTTGCAGTGTAAACAAAGCAGCGACGAAACGCTTGCCCAGATAGTCATGCAGTGTGAAAACATCTGTGACACGACTACTTTTAAAATCATGCAGGCTGAACTCGGCATAACCTACTGATGACAGCCACTTTGAGATGGTTTTTAAGGTAGTTAATGAGATTTGTTGTGTTACCTTGGGAAGTTTGGACTGAACAGGAGCAAAGGCTACCTGATCATCATTATATTCCTCGAAAAAAAAAAACACTTGCAATCTAGACACAGTCACCTCATGCTTGTGTTGCGCTACAATCCATAAACTCCACTCATTAAAATAACGGCTTGGTGTTTATACTGTAAAATCATGAAAATATTTAATTATTGGTTGTGGGCCACAAATATCGTTATTGTGAAAGTAAAATGATTCATCGTGCAGCCCTACACCCTTTCATTGTGTTCCTGGCTGTTTTTAACCCATTGACTTCTATTATAACCACATTTTTAACCACAAAGCCATGACACCAAGTAATCTTGGATTCTAGGTTGTTGGTGTTTTCCCTGTTGGGAAGAGGTAAAACATGTTATTTTTACTGTTGATCATCAGTTGGCAGCATTAACCCTTTAGATAGGCCTGTTCAAAAAGTTTTTGTCTTTTATATGGAGTTCAGGGGACTAACAGTTTTATCCCAAAAATCAGACGAAGAAGAGCAGGAGTTAGAGATTCAATTAAAAGAAAGTTTACTGTAGATAGTTTGCAGTTTCATCAGCAGAGGCCAGCTTCAACACTCACAAAAAGTTTGTAGACCGTATTACATACAATCTCAGAACAACAATTAGACTCTTACGTAAGGGGGTTGAAGACCGCGTGTACACATTTTTATGCGTCTTCTCCTCATAATGCCAAAAAGAACTTGAATTAAACTTTTTGTTTTGATCGTACAGATCAGATCAATACATCAATTGAATCTGTTAAGTGTCTAGTTTTTATTGTGTACACGAACAATGACAACAGGTAAATTCAGTACTAGTATCAGTGAACATCAAAAAAATGTTAATAATGTAGTTTATGTAATCAGATTGCTTATTTTTTTCAGATGTGAATAAGAGAGACTGATGCTGACATGGCTCCACAGGCTCTGAGATTTTTCATGAATCTGGACCACAGCTAAAACCATGTGATGCTCACGCTTTTACAAACCTTACACCCTTTATTATCTCACACGCTTTATATTTACATTGTTGATTTGCTCTGAATGTGTCTTCTGTACACAATGTGTCGTGTAAATTCCAGTGCAGGCCTTAAGTTATACGTAAAGTGTATTTATCAGTAGAATTGCTATATGTAAGTTTATATAGTTTACAGAGTTGTATACAGTTTACTGACTCTCACAAGTGTATCAAGTTGTTTTGTGTGATAACTAAATATATTTTAAATAAACTGCAATCAAAAAATATATATATAAATAAACTTTTTTTTCCCCCTTACTGTACGTTCACAACGAAAGTGGCGAGTGCGT